TTTGAAATTGGAATTTGTGTAGTGAATGACTTCAAATGAGAGTTTTAAGGCTAATTGTGATTAAAAGTGGTAGTGTATGTAAATGATATTTATATGGTGAGAAGGGCATGTGTATGTTAATTTAACCTGCAAAAACTATAAATTTTCTTTCTTTTTCTCATGCACTTGCAATTTAGATAGAAATAAATTTCACTTCTTCTAATGGCAGTTTCTATGTTTGATATACAACTGGTGTTGCCTTACATGTCTGTTTAATTAATGTCGGTCTCATGTGTAAATACTATCCTTCAGCAAACATGTTGGTTGTGTGTATGATGGTGTCTTGGAAGGCTTAGGAGAATGATACATGTTCTTTTGCTATAATCTTTCCATTCAGTTTGTTATTTCTATTACTGTTTCAGATTTATTCCCCTCACTTGGACTCACCCCCACCAAGATGGGTTCATTTTGCACATGGGTTACTTCTATTTTTATATCAGGTTTGCTCTTCCTTCTTGCTGGCAATGTTTTGAAAAATTCTCTCTCCTTTTTCCCCTGGTGTGTTTGGGAAGGGGGAAGAGTGTGTGAATATTTTACTCTTTATTTTCAGTATGGGTTCTTTTTGATGTATTACTAATTACATGCTAGACTTTTGATGCTGTTGACGGGAAGCAAGCCAGAAGGACAAACTCCTCTAGTCCACTTGGAGAGCTTTTTGACCATGGTAATTTCACTTTATCATGTCTTTTCTCCATCACTTGCTACTTACATTGAGAACAAGTTCTTATGTAATAATTATGTTTGGTGTTCCTAAAATGTTACAGGGTGTGATGCGCTTGCATGTGCGGTATGTGTTTAACTTGTTGCATTACAGAACACTTCAAAGGCTAATAAAATTCTTCCATTATATGAGACTGATCCTTTTTGCAGTTTGAAACCATGGCTTTTGGGAGCACTGCCATGTGTGGAAGGGACAGTTTCTGGTTCTGGGTAATTTCAGCTGTTCCATTTTATGGAGCTACATGGGAACAGTAAGTAATCCAAAATGTACTTTATTTTTTTTCTTTTGTTTCCCTGGTAAGAAACCAGGCCATACTTGTGCAATCCTTCAATCACTTGGATTATTCTACAAATGCGTTATAAGTTTTGTCTTCATTACTCTTTTTCTTGCAACCTCCACCATTTTTTGTTATATCAAACCGTTTGATATGTATTTCTCTTGCATGTCTCTGTCCTTACTACATATTAGAAAGGCATATAGTTTATAATGCGGTTTTTGTAGCATACAGTTGAAAGTTAGCCCTGCTGATGCATCTGTTATTTTTCTTTTTTTTTTATGCAGTTATTTCACCAACACGCTTATCCTTCCTGTAATTAATGGGCCTACTGAGGGTCTTGCACTGATATATACATGCCACTTTATGACAGCAATTGTTGGTATGCTACCTCCCTTGATATGTTATTTCTGCCTTCAACAACCTGTGCCGTGAAAACTTTCTTTTACTTGGATCTCATGCATTGAAATTTTGAACTTTCATTATATATTTTTCTTCTATTTTTCACTTTTCTGACTGCTTTATCTTTTTTGTTTCCCTTAAGGTGCCCAATGGTGGGCTCAGCAATTCGGGAAGTCCATGCCCTTGTTCAGTTGGGTACCTTTTGTTAATGGTAAGTTTCTAATTATGTGATATTTCTTTTGCAACTGGACAATAATCAGCTAATGTCTTTATTAGTCGACACTTCACAAATACTATAAATGCAATATATGGGGGATCTTGGGGACATTTTATTATGAATTATAAGATATGATGGTTTTAATTTAAAGTTTTCTTTCTTTTGTGTTCTTGAATATGATCAATAGCTATTTGAATTCTGTCACTCTTCTTCATATTGCTTGATGGATTTCATTTTTTGAAAATACCTTTTACGTTTGGGAAAGTACTAATGCAGCCCTCATGCTACTTATATTAATAGCAATGGATAATGGGTGAAACTATAGATGGAAATGATTTGATAAAACAAATTAAAAAGTTTTAATAGTCTGATGTTGTGGTAATATTGGAGCTGTCACAGAGATAAATTTGTGATGGTTCACTAGATTCAGTCATGAAATTGCTCCTCATTTGACTTCACAGTATGTGATTGTCATTTTGTTCTTCATTCAATACCTTATCTTGGCGTTGTAGCTGTTTCAGCGGTGTTCTTAGTGTACAATCTCGTTTTATTTTATTTTTCTCTATCATTTGCTTGTATCTGGTAGTTCTAAGTATCTGTCCTTTGTTTCCAGAATCTAGTTGTAAATGTTGGATTACAATTTTAAATTGTTAGCTGCTGACCGCATTATCTGTATAGGTATCTTATATTTGATTAGTTATTTATATTTATTATTATTTTGTCTTAAGAAATGCAAGTCAAGCTCAGAAAATTGTGCCTTTTTCTTTTTTTCTTTTTATGTTGGCCTTGGATTTTGGATCTTATTGGTTTATTTGTTGCTTTTTTCATTCTTTTCTTTAACTTCTTGTTACTTATTTAGTTTTTCTACCCTTTTTGGCTTTAGAAATTCCAACATACAAAGGTGTGCTGTATTTGATGATAGCATTTGGTGTTATACCTACAGTCGCTTTCAAGTAAGTGGTTATCCACATCTTAAAATCGTTAAAATTTAGTTCAGGCTTTCATGGTAGTAGCTTCTCATACTTTCTTTTTGGCATTCTTGTAGCCTTACACCAGAGCTGTGGATTATTAGACTTAGTTACTTTGATCTTTTGCAGCACATTGTCTACTTTTCTTTAGCCAGTTTTAGTCTGGTTTTACAACTGAAGCTTGTTATGCTTTCTTTTGGCATTCTTGTAGCACCACACTAGAGCGGTGGACTATTAGGCTGAGTAACATGATCTAATTGCATTCTCATCATCAATGACCTTTTTTATTCCCAACTCATGGCCTTGAAATCCAAATATTTGATGACTGCCAAAAGATTTTAGCTCTGCATGCCCCATATGAACTGCAGAGGCTGTGGTTTCTATGCATGAGGCCTTGTCTTATCAGTCGGGTTTTTATTTTGTTGATATTACAGCTCTTTGGTTAATATAAGCGTAAGCTTCATTAATGTGCTTGTACGGTTTCTTTTGCAGTATAAGCAATGTCCATAAGGTTGTTCAGGCAAGAAAAGGAAGCATGTTACTGGCATTAGCCATGGTAATTCTGTAACTTTTTGTGTTTCTTTCTTCATTCCATATATGCTTAAATGCTTAATAGATGCTTTGTGTTCTTTTTTGTTAGCTTTACCCCTTTGCTGTACTCATGGGAGGAGTGCTGGTTTGGTAAATTGAACCTGTCCTTCTTTCTTTTAGCAATGTTAGTTTTTTCCTTTTTGGTGTGGATATTGGCCTTATGCGGTTTTTTAATACTTTGAAGGGATTATTTGTCTCCCTCCGATATTATGGGAAATTACCCGCATTTAATTATACTGGGAACTGGACTTGCTTTTGGGTTCCTTGTGGTAAGGTTTGCTTGTAATCAGAATTTTTTAATATTTCTAAATTCCTAGTTTAAATGCTCTAGTGTGTCATGTGTCCTCTTTATGACTGTTGTTGGCATCTATAAGTGAAACTGGTGACAATGATTCAAATATGTTTAGAACAATATCTTTGTAGACAATTTCGCTTGTCAACAACCGGAGACAATTCCTTGCTTGCTTGCATGCCAGTAGTTTGGATGCTTAAAACGAGCCAATGCTATTTTTAAGAGTGAATATTTTGTAATTATATACCCTTTTTTAATTTTAATATAGGATGCTGTTGAATCATAGGGAAGTTATTTCTATTTCCTTATTTTTCCTCTCTGTTTCTCTCTCTCCCTCTCTCTTTTCGCTTACTCACTCACTCACTCACTTACTCACTCATCTTTTCTCTTAATAATTTCTATTTATGAAACCTAAGGAAGCCATCACTTTAAGGTCTTTTACTGTTTCTGTTTGCATCACTTTAAAGTGCGTTATTGATTTTCTTTGTCTGACTCATCTCTACAAACTCTTGTGCACCCAATGAAAATTTTCAGTCATTTATTTTGAGTTCTTTCTTCTGCTTCCGCAACTCTATGGATGAGGGGTGTTAATATGAACTCTGGTGTCCATCTTGGGGCTTTACTCTTAATGGCTCCCTTTATAAGCTTTGAATGTTTCAGTGTTAAAGTATTTGTGCATGTGTTATTGAGTGTTGTGTACGTGACTTTTGTGTGTATCTTTCTGTTTATCTGTCTACCTATATATTGTTTTCTTTATTTCTTTTTCCACTTCCCAACACTTATGTATTTTCTTCTGAATATGTGGCTTGTGTTATAGTTGTTTCTTAGGCTTTAGTGTTCTATTTCTCTGGACAGCACTTAAATTCATTTACTGAGCACTGATAAGGTAGGAAGACAAATTCCTATTTACGTGGTTACTGAGAGAAAATTGTTTTGACAGGGACGAATGATTTTGGCTCACTTGTGTGATGAACCCAAGGGATTGAAAACTAACATGTGCATGGTATGTAGCATTCTTTTGTGAAACTGCATATTCTGATCAAATCAATGTGGGTAGAGGCTTAATATAGCTGAGCTTTGAGAAGCTTAGACTTGGCTTCTAACATATATAATCAAGCTCAAGCCAATCCAAGCTTCTTGCAAGCCTAAAAAATTGCAGGCTTGGACTTTAGCTTGTGACAGATTTGTCAATGTCAGCTTGAGTTTGAATGATCTTGATGATAAACTAAACTCAACTGAGTTTGAAAAAGTTTACTTGTTCTTAAATAAGGATCCTAATAAAACTTTTACATTAATATTATCATTTATTTAAACTAGATAGAGTATTGAACTCCCAATCGAGCTTCATTATGTTCAGCGTTGAGCCTGATGAGCTAAGCCAGCCTTACTTTAAGCTTGAGTTTGACTTTTTTTGCAAACAAGCTTGAGTTAAGTGAATCCTGAATTGAGATGAACGTGAGCAGCATGTCTCTTCTGCACCTTTACCCTCCTTTTTTACTGCTATGGAGTTCAATAAACTAGTGCCATAGAATTTTACACCTTCGAAAAAACTGCTTCACTCTTTATTTCTGATTCCATGTACAAGGATTTATATTTGTACTTAAATTTTTATGCTATTTTATTTACAGGAGCAGTGATTTTTGTCTTTTAAGAGGCAAAGATTTTATTCTTTTAACTACTTTTTGATGGACTTGATTACATGTTTTTCTTGCAGTCACTCTTGTATCTTCCATTGGCAATTGCAAATGCTCTTACAGCTAGACTGAATGATGGGTATGTGTTAGTTCGATTTTGCTTGCGACCTGATACAGTGCCATGCCGTTTTAGTTGTTGTTTCTCATTGACATGAATGCTAATTGTTGTTTTCCCTCTTTTACTCCAGTGTTCCTTTAGTTGATGAGGTCTGGGTTCTTCTTGGTTACTGTGTATTCACAGGTATGATTGCTGCCTTCTTTAGTCATTTTACTTAAGGGTTTTAGGCATCTTCTAGACTTTTACCTTGTTGACATATTTTAAATTGACTTGAATCTGGCTGAACCCCATGTCATTCAAACCCATTTTGAAGGGAGTAAAAAGCATGGATTTGGTACTCTATGCAACTTTTTTCCTACATCTACTAAATAAATTTATTTGGCCAAAAAAAATCTATTTATTTCTGAACTAGTTCTGTAATAGGTTTTGTTTGACAATATAAAGACGAGTTTGGTTGTGGTTTAAAATGAGATCTATTAATTTTTAAACATTAATTTGTGTTATAAGTTAGCATCTTTATCTCTCTGTCAGTTCAAAGCTCTGTGCTATCATTTTATTTTTTTGTTGTTATATGTTGCCTGATATTTCTCTTTTTCTCAAAACAGCATCGCTCTACTTGCACTTTGCCACATCAGTTATTCATGAAATTACGACAGCTTTGGGTATTTATTGCTTCAGGTGAGGAAGTTCTATTGCCCATCAATGTTATTTTGGGCATAGAACCTTGTATTTTGCTATTTATTGTGCAGTGATTTGAATCATTGGTAAATGTGGCCCTCTCAAAATGAAGTTTAAAGCTCCTAACTTGTAGGATATATTATTCATCTGCTGTCTGTCTTTCTTTGCTTTAATGTGTTTTGGGTCAAATCCTGCAAAGATTCAGTATTATGACTGCAATGATATGCAAGTGTGGTCGGACATGGGACCTACTTAGGTTAAATTTACTCTTTTAATCCGTTTGATTAAGGTTGTATGAAGTGATATTTGGGTAACACTTGTCTCTTTTTACTTAGATTCATCTTGGACTATACCTATTTGTTTGTTGGTCAGCTTTTATCCTAGTTACTTTCGACCCTAGAAGTTTGCCTTGTGTGTTTTGTTTTTTTTTTTTTCTTTTGGTTCTGTAGAAAAGTTTAAATTCTACGACAGGCCTATTGATCTTGTAGTTTTTAGAATATTAAGGTTTCGGGTTGCTCTTCAGAGTACTTTTTCTAGTCCATTGTTTCTAATCATTATCCCTTTGTTAAAATGACAGGATAACTAGGAAAGAGGCTTGAACATTAGTGATGGTTATCTGGGGTATGTTTCTTTTTCCCTCATTCCGAACCATGATACTGTTGAGATCGCAATACATTTGGTTTTAACCTGCGAGTCAGTACGGAGTTTGAGTTGGATTAAGCTTTCTGACTGTTGTTTTTCACAATTATCTAGTGCATACAGGTTTCCTGGATGGAAATTGGTTTACAACTTTTGCTCCACCAGAAGGTTGGTAGCACTGCTGTAGGGATTCAGTATTTGGCAAAATTCTTTTTGATCCGAATCTAGTCCTAGTGCCAAAAACATTGCGGGGCTCATCGACATTGTTATAAATGTTCTGTTGAGTTTGAGAATAGAGCAGGAAAATTTAGTTATGTAAACTCTTTTATCTATGACTTAAATGTATGAATCAATTATTTTCTGGTGGATATTTACAATAAAAGTTTTTGAAGCATATACAGCAAAAAGCACTCTAATCCCAGGCAGGCTAGTTGAAGCATATAATGTTGATGATATATGGAACTTGTGAATGAAATGGAAACTTCTATTTCTGGTAAGCATATGCACAACTCTTGGAATTGGAAAAGATGGGAAAAGTGGGAAACTAAAACAGCTATTATCAAGGTATTTATCAATGTAAAATGCAAGACAAATTAATTATAAATAAAATAAAATAAGAAAAGAAGTATTTTGTCTCCTAAAAATTCTATGCATCTAAGATGCCTAAATAAGGTTTGGTTACTGAACCTATGTACAATGTTCCATTCATTTCATGAATATCACTGATGGAATTAAATGATTTTTAATTTTTTGAATTTATATAAAATATATATTTTTATTACTAAGTTACCGTAAGACAAATGTTATATTTTTTTAATATTTAAATTAGAATAAAATTTATAAATTTTAATATTGTGATTTAAAAAAATAATAAAATTTTAATTTTTTTGATTTAAAACCAACTCCAACGAACCAATTCGGTTTTTAATCGATTTTAATCAATTTTTTAAATATATTTTATCTATTTTATCCTGTTTAAATATAACAAATAGAACTGACCAAACTACCTAATTACTCACCCTTACAAATTTCAATATATTATGCCGTATCTCTATTTAGACTTGTTTTTTTTTTTTGTTTAAATAGTTCTCTTTCTGAAGTCCAGTGATTTCCATTTACCATTTTCTTTTATTTTTTTTCAATTTTTTAACAAGAAAAACATATTTATCACCAGATCATCAGAAATTATCTGGGCAAAGTTTCATCTTCCAAGTCTGCTAACTTGAAACCTGAATCGCCCGGGGTACCAAATGACCATAAAGTCACAAAAATCATTCCCTTAAAGAAAAAACAGTAGAAAATAGCAGAGGAATGGGGGAAGTGAATAAGGAATGCCAACATTAGCATTGCTTTTACTTCGCTCAATAAATTAAATGTTGAGATCTTTCGCACTCTTCAGTTATCCTTCTTTCCCTGTTTTTCTCTTCCCTACTCGATTTGAATCAGGTTACATGAACTATAGTATCATTAAAATCTCTCCATCAAACCACATAGCTATTGCCTTGCAATGATGCAAATAATGCCTCAATCCCAAAAATCTTTTACAAAATGGAGCAGCAAAGCTATACCTGCATATGAAATTGCCCATCCCATCTCACGATGGAATCTGCCGGTGAAACCAGAAGTTGAGAACATGTATTCCATTGAAATAGATATGGCACAAGGTAGTTGCACCAGAGATGATGCGAACATACCATTTACTACTTCAAACAATTGCTAGCTTGAAGATCTAATACAGTGACAACAACTGAGACTTGTGATCAATCCCATTGAATACGTAAGTGCCAGACATGGGAACAAACTGTTTCGTTATAAGCTGCAACAAATGCAATTTAGGGCACTTATAAGAACACCAAGTAATACGAACTATGCCAAACCAAAATCATTTTTTGGTAACCGCCTCCATTTAGACCATGGCAACATGCACTTGAAACACATAGCTGATAAAAAGACTAAGACGCTATACCTTGATCACCTCTTGTGATGCTATTCCTCCAATGAAGGCAGCAACTGTATGGAGCTCTGCAGCACCAAATCGACACATTTCATTTATAAGGTCCTCTGTCAATGTTAAGCCATTGCAACCCAAATCATTAAGTAGGCTAACAGCTGTAGTTTTTAACCGAGATATATCCTCATCCATTCCACTGGAAAAGAATAACCACATAGTTAGCATGCAAACTCAGGTTACGATACTAACAGAAAGAAGAAACAAAAAGAGTTAGGCTTACCCATCAAACTGCCCAGGAAAACTGTTAAAATTTGCAGCATAGCGGTCCACAGCTCTTAGAAGAATATAGAATCCCACAGCAATACTACATATAACCACAAGAGCATAGGTTGTAAGCAAGACGTATCATCAAGATTTGGATTGTAATCAAAATCATAATTTTGCAAATTGCAAATAAAAAATCAAATCATAAAACACAGAGAAAAACAATGAAAACACTTCAAATGAATTTTAGACAATAAGCATTCATGTAAAACAGGGGAAAGGAAAACAACTATATGCTAAAATTAATATGTAAGAGTATAAAAAAGTTCTTAAAATTCACCTTTTAAATTCAGAAAACTATATACCTAAACACATACAGCTTCTCAACAACTTATAGTTTAGGAGAGTCAAACAAATTCATATTTATGTGATTTTCTAACTGCTTAAAGAAAGTTTAGGAACCCTAAATTCCTCGTAGAAATCAGAAGAAAGATAAAAGCTAAAGCAGTTTTCTTTATTATTATTTTGATTCTATGGGCCTTCAGGAAAGGGTTTAAAGTCTTTTGCTTGAAAAAGAAATGGTAAATTTTTAAGTAGCTGGTGTAACTGCAGCTGTTTGGCCGTTCAGGTCTGAGGCAAACTAGGAATGGTTATGAAAGTTTCAATTTCAGGGTGCGTGTGTCTTTTGAATAGCTTCAATTTCAATTTCACAGAGTTAAAGCCCTAAACCAGTACCAATCAAAGCAATATGTCCCAGGCATCAAAAACTGGAAAGGCCAATATACGAGATCCAACTAGATGTTTCTCTAAACTACAGACTATGCTATCTGACTTCTAGGATTTGGAAAAAATCAGAGAAACACAATTGTAAAGTAAGGACCCACTCTGTTACTATAACATTACTCAGAAGACCAGGCAAATTCACTTAGTTTAAGCATGTTATATGACAGATAGAATCCTATGATGTAGTCTGTAAAAGAAAGTTTTCATCTATATAGGGCAATGCATTTGGTCCAAAACAGATCAAAGAACATCAAAATATTCTGAAAGGGGAAGAGACAGGAGATTAGATAATGCACATAATTTCGAACTTTGGAAGCACTAAAATTTAAGTCAGTGGCACCTGTAATCTTCATCTGTTAAATACTTCTGCAGCTCAGGAAGGGATGGGTTATTATACTCATCCTCAATGAGGCGATACCTGCAAACCTACAAAGTAAAGATTAGAATGCCTAGTTGATGGGCAGCAAGTCAAAGAGCTATAAATGAATGAGAACTTCTTCTATATAAGCTGTCAAAAATACGTTATCAACCCTCAGTTTGTGCTTTTGAGATTTTGCCCATGTGTGCTCAAGTTAGCTGAGGGAGATCTCAAAAGAGGCATGCCTCTTTATAATCTCTCTGGAATCACCATTAGGGTGAAACCTCAGCAACATATTGCACAATATTCTATTTGTCATAACATAAACATTCATGCATGGGGGATGCTGATGATAAAACTAAAGGGCAGAAAGATCCAATTAACAGAAAAACAAATGATGAAATTTAGACCAGAAGGCCAGAACAGCTAGTGATCACCAATAGGATTAAGACAAAAGATTATTTAACAAAAAGCATTTAACAGAGTACAATAGAGATCCACCAAGGTATTCTACAAAATGATACTATAGGCTCCAAACAGTTTACACACTTTAGTAGAAATTGTGATATAGATGCCACTTACCATCAAAGTGCTTCTCATATCAATGAGGATACAGGCAGTAGATTGAACCATAAAATAAGAGACAGATGCAATTTCACAGACTTACTTTGAGTTTTCTTGCATTTTTACAGAAGCTTTTTATTGTTGCCTTTGGGATACTATTTGGATCTCTGCCAATTTTCTTAAGAATATTCCTAACTCGTTTTTCAATGACAAGAAAATCAGCCTCAGACTTAGCCTGATAGATCTTCTGCAAGTTTATGTAATGCCTGAACAAGAGAATTGATAGAGCGGTCATCCTCAATTTTAGATAAAAGAAACAGCTAGAAATTTTGCATGGATCAATCACTAACTCAGTTGAAGATGTCATATCTGGTATGGACCCCTCAAGTGGTGCCTCCCCACCACCTTCATTTGCAATGAACTCCTGCATAAAGTGCACAATTGCAAAGACTAAATTTGATCAATAGAGACTTGCAGGAGATTGAATAAATTTAACTTGAAGGGCAATCATAAACATTTATAGCGGGATGGACATTGATTAAAAATTCAATAATTTGAAGAAACTTTACATAGACAAATTAATATCACCAAGAATGTTGCATGGAGAATGCATGTTTAAACCTATGCATAACATTAACAAATAGCAAACTATCATGCCACCAGAACGCAATATAAAGTCCAACTTTTTTTCTCTCCACAAACAGGTATGCCCGCGACACTTTGCATAGATGGTGCCACTTAAATCAAGCAATCAGACAATAAAAATTGACAATTACTTCAAATTGTTGAGACGTCATTGCAAACTGAAAGTTTATCTAAAGTTTTCCCAAAAATATTTGAAGAAAGAGTGAAACAGTTCTGAGAAACAAGTCAGTTATGCAAATAATCTGCTCTAGTTATAAAATTATAACAGCTCTAGCCACCATTCAGGATCAGCAAGCCTCATTTAGGTTTTTCAGAAAGACTCTAGGGTTACAACTAAACAAATAAATGATTCTATGCTTCTATCAATCTATAACTGTTCATTACAAGAAAAAAGATATGACTGACATTCTAACCAATGCCAGTTCAGCCACAATAAAGTGAAGGGAATTTAATAATTAATTGAGTTTTTTGCAAGTGCAAGTTAACTTTTAAATCACCAACCTTCAAAGCTGCTACCATCACCCAAAAGTCAGAAGAATTAGAAGCAACTTCAGCACAGCTATCAATAATTATCTGCTGCAAATCTGAACCTGAGATAAAAAAACAGAGGGTTAGGTTAACCACCAACCAGAGTAAACTCTGATTTTGCAGCTGATGCCAACTCAACACTGAAAACAAACTAATAATGAATGCAAAGGATAATGCATGACAATTAGTAATAGAAGCTTGATCAACAAAAGTAAAGAGTTTACTAATCATAAAAAGGATACTTTGCCCACTCAATTTGTTTCGCATCAGTAAGTTCTTTATCCGATTTATAGTTACAACTAATTTCTTAATGTGAACAGATAGCAAGTTTCCTCAAATCTGCTTCCCTCTTAAGCCTAGAGCATGAGAGCAATACCAACTCCAATCCCAGGAAAAAGCGTTGCCATGGGTCGGTTAGCTGGATTACATGGTTCAAGGCAGTACAAGCCACAGATCCTTCTATAAAATCAATGTACTTTCTCATTGTATTTCCAGATGATACAAAGAAGTTTTTATGGAAATCCTTCTAAAACTTTAAACCATGCTTCTGCTTAAGATAAACTTACTGATTCCCCGAGGAGCAAACACTTTGAAGGAGGCATCAATAGCTTCTTTATAGTTGTCTTCATCCATTGCAACCATCCTGGCTTTGAGAAGTTCCTAAAATGTCCAAGAACTAAAACTAAATCCACTGACATAAATCAGAAGAAAAATCTAACAGATAAAATTCGCAGAAATTTTTAAACCTTGAACTCTCTTTTCTCTTCCCTGGTTGATGGAAGACTACCTCCATGGCTTTTTATCCACTCGTCAGCCATCTTCACAAGGATGACAACATATGGTATGTGCTTATGAGCAACAGGGTCTTGCACATTTAGGTCAATAGCTTCTGCAAACCTATTATTCATAAATGCCAGTCAGAATTCTAATAGTGGAAAACAAAAGGATATAAGCTTAAAGTTCAATGAATATTCACATATATTCTAAGGACACATCAGAGGGCAACACATTGAGAAAAAGACATCATTGGATGAATTACAAGAATTCCTTGAGGATATACCAAAAGTACAGTTTCATCCTAACATGATAGAAAAATATATACTACCTCCCTCAACAAGAAGTTAAGTGTAATAAAACTTACCACTGACCATAAGTGAGGAGAGTATTTGGTTTCAGGAAGCTGAGTTTAGGTATCTCACAATACACAAAGATGTAATGTCTTTTCTACCTAATGTTTTAACAGTTAAACTGGCATCATAAAACCATTATGGTGCAAGCCAATAGCAAATAGAAATATATAAACATGCACTGAGAAATAAACCAACATAAGCATTAATTAAAAAAAATAAAATAAAATAAAAATTCATACCCTCTCAGTTCAGGCCATGGGTTATTCAACCTAAGGTCATCTAGAAAATGATCAGGCTTTGACTCAATCACAGCATGTTCCTGCCACAAGCAAAACTTAATGATTATTATTAAACCTTTTGCTTCATTTTCTCCTTGCATCTTGTCTAAATTTTAAAATGAATAACCATCCATTTCCACTTGACCTACATAAAAATTCAATTGAAATTAAAGATATTTTCATACTGATATCATTTATATCTCTGAGATGTCCATGGTGATGGGATGAAAGCGCAAAAAATGTAAACTACAACATGTTACCTTTACACTAATGCGAACTAAACCTGTCAGGCCATAGGAGCGAGCAAAAATCAACATCACATTTGCTTCTCTACAGATTCTATCAAGCTTCACCATAGATTCTTCCACCAGCTGAAACAACATCATAGTCAAAAGGAATGAATCAAAATATAAGCAAGAATAGAATCACAGGATTTTTCTAAGTAACAAAGCAACACAAAATAATGAATAGAGCTATTTTAATTCCAAATGGCCTTTGCACACATAGACATCAATAAGAGCCAGACTTACCCCTCAAAGAGAAATTGACAGTAACATGTAGCAATATAATATGAAACCTAACAGTTAACTTCATCGCTGAAAGTAGGTAATTAAGGAATGGGAAGATTGGATACCTGAGTGGCTACAACTAAGGTAAATTGAGAAAAAAAAGATGGGTTGGTGTCGATCAAAGCTTCGGGATGCTCTTCAATAAATTTAGCTTTAACAGCATCATTTAGCTCTTGGAGGAATGAGCAAACACACTTGGCCTTTGACTGACCAAGACTTGACTCATCCACTAACCCAGAACAATACCCAGAGAGGAGACAAGATTATTACAAAAATGAAGGTTATAAAAATGAAAAAAAAAAAAAGAGGGGGAGGGGGAGCACTATAAAACTTACCCATAAAATTATTTCCAAGGTCACCCAACTCAACCTTAGATCCATCAACTATCGTAATGCTTCCAACACCACCAAGAACAAGATTCTTCAAAGTCTCAGAACCAGTTGGCCCACAATTTAGTAAACATATGCTTGCTTTCTCTAAAGCTGCTTGCCCTTGTTCACCCCAGATCCTGCCAATTTTTTATTTTTTTTTTAATTTTGTTAACATTGCGAATAGGCACAGCAACTTAAATTATTCGGGAGGAAAAATCTATTGAAACTTGAATTTTTTTTACTCTTTTTTTTTGTTGCAAAGATAGAAAAATTTAAATCAAAAACCTAAAAAGGAACAAAATCTAATTACAGTTGAAAGGATACCTGAGCTGACGATCATATTTTGTTTTAGGCTCCGCCATCGTTAACTTAATTGCTTCTTCGCTTGCTTACTACGCACAGTTACAGTCCAAGCACTGTCCGCGTGCGTTTTGAGGACAACGCCGAGGCTTTCGATTAGTGCAACGGTGTGTTTTATCAGGCAGACCAAAATAGCTTATTTGATTATTGATAGCCTAAAACAGCGTCGTTCATTGCTTGTCGCTGCTCTGATCTGCTGTGCTCAAAAGTCAGGGGCCCATTGGGCTTGGGCTTGGGCTTCGGCATCGGCTTGCTTAAATATTTCATTAAGTTTCATTGTTTGCTGGCGTGGGACAGTGCGAATAACATAAAAGAGCAGCTTAGGCCAGCTGCCGCCTTGGTTGTAGAACTGACAATTTTATATATGATACAACAATCCTATACAAACACGATACGGATTTAAATAGATTTAAGTTTAAATTAATCATATTAATACAATTAAAATATAAATAAATTATGTATTAATCATGTCAAACCTTCTTAACCCGTTTAAGATGTATATAAGATGCGATTTTAAGAATTCTAGGCTTGATTAAAAGAGTTAGATTGAACAGTTTTTAGGCATGTTCAAATTACAAAATAATTGCAGTTAGAATCAGTCTTTGAAACTAAGGAAAGCATAAATACTTGCTAACCCAGTCTAAACCTTGCTCAGCAAGAATGAGATGAATGATGACTTTCTTTTTATAAAGACTTACAGATGAACGATTTACTAAGCATTAATGGCTCTTAGAAAATATCTACAGGGAGGGGGACTTCATTTAAGTCCTATGCAAATCTAAACGGACTTTATAGCCTACAAATCCAAAAAACATTGACAAAATATCAAAAGCAGAGCACCAGAGCTAAAGCAGAAAATTAAATAGGTGAAAAGGTGCCATGAATTATGCTAACGATAGATGAAATAAAAGCATGCAATTAGTAACATAAAGAGAAAGGAAAACATCTTACTATCAGATTAAGGATCAGGGCAAAGGGGTTAGCTGATGGTGCTCATTAAGTCTTTTGACGGTTGCCATAGAATCCTTGAACCAAATCTGATCTTTGATTGGGATGAAGGGTTTGTGGGAAGGGAAGGGCTACTGATCCTATTTCCCTGTTTCATGGCACAGCCAACTGGACTTTAAACAGTAAAATAAATTATCTTAGGGAAACCATTGCCTAGCTGAGAGTGCACTAGAAGAAACTTGAACAAGAAAGGTTTCGAAATCCTCTTAAGCCAATTCTAAGGCCATATGCAAGATCCTTCAACTTGTGTTCATCTTTCTCTGGAGGTTAATCACCAGCTTGCTAACTTCAAGCAAACTTGTTCAATGGAAACAATAGCAAAGCTATGAATATCAAACTTTAGCAATCAGCTAAACATCAATTCTTACAGGCCAAGAATCTAACCTTTAGTAGCAATCCAGTTATCAAGCCAAGTGCAGAGCTACCACATCTGAATATCAAAGATAGTTAAAAGAACTGAGCTATTGAGAACCCAGATGACTCTAAATTCTAACAATCTCCACCTCAATTTGATAAGCTTTCAAGAAAAAGAAAAAATTGAACTGAAGTTGTAGGCTGGTGCCATTTCACCATCTCTTATCAGCCAACCCTAACTCACACTCACTTTCATTTAGCTGAAGAACATAGCTTCCGAAAGCAAATCATACTTTCTTTACACATCACCAAGAAAAAGAAAGTCTGCATTCAGCAGCTCTTCCAGTTAAAACTTGGTCCTTCTACAAACACCAAGCACAAATGTTCTCAAAGTGATGTGATCATGATGCACAATTTAAGCCAGTTTAGATAACAAAGTAACTAATGTAAGTTGCAATGCAGAGCTTATAACAAGCACGAATGCAATTAAAGACTTACATATTTACATGATTCAAACCCTAATGAACACTAACATAATTAAAGATGCTAGTAATAAATTTACTTAACCACATCATCAAACATTTCTTAAACAGTTTTTATTTTTCAGTAATTAATTTGAGCTTCAATAAGGCTTAACTTCGTAAAGCAGGTCAGAGAACTGCGTAAATTTGCAAGTAACGGATTCAAAATGGAAAACTAAAAATTTATTACAACTACTAGTATTTGTTTCATGTTTCTTTTCAATTTAACAAGAAAGGAGTAACTAAATCTACAACCTAGGGCCAAAATAGGAAGGAAAAAAAAAGAGTTCAAATTCACATAATAAACTAGTTTCATTCACTAGTTAACAAATCCACAACCGGATCGGCCAAATCCAGAGCCGACTGTGTTGAATTCAGAAACAGCATCCCTTTGGCGGCTAATAGCTTCTTCCTCTGGAGACACCTGGGCCCGTAGACCCTCGCTGTAGCCGCGAAGCAAGGGAAGCCGTCAATGGATGCGGAGAAGGTTTGACCACCACTAGACGGCGGAGAGGACGGAGAGATCTGAAAGAGGGAGCTGATTCGGTGCGATCTGGCGCTGATCCGTGAGTCCCTGAGGCGAGCTAGGGCCCCGGGTTTGAGATACTTTAGGAAGGGTTCGGTTCCGGTCAGGGAATGCCTGGCTAAGGATCGGGTTCTCCGGTTCATGATTGGAAGTGAATGGGTTAAGCGACAGGGAAATAGAGGTGTTTTTTTTTTTTTTTGTGGTGTTGGAAGGAGAGAGATAGGGTTTGGCCGTTTGGAAGATTAGGTTGGATTTTTAAGGAGGGAGAGAGCGGGAAAATGAGGGAGGGAATGTGGGGGTTTGAAAGAAGGGGTCAGGACTCAGAAGGCGCGGAATTGAGTAGGGTCTAGGGTTAGCTCATGGCTGCTGAGTTGGCCCGGCATCCTGCTCGGGTGAGTCCCTGGCGTTTTATGTCAAGGTGATGCAGACCCATGGTCCACTCTTGGTGCACCCCAAATAGGCGCACCAGGACCAGGGCCATCGTCTATTCTTATTTCTTGGTCTTTTACTCTTTAACATTGTCTGATTTTTTTATAATTATTGATTAATTAAGGTGATATTTATAAAAAAATTACAATTAATGTGTTATCTCTTATTATTATTATATTATTATATCCTTTTATTAATTTTTTATTATTACGTGATTATGAGTGAATATTACATATAAATAAAATTTGAATGTAAAATCTTTTTACTATATAAATTTTAAAATATAATAAGTGAGAGTGTTTAAAAACTATAACTTATTTAATAATTTAAATTAAGAGGATAGGCACAAAAGATAAAATTAGTTTTTGTTTTATGGGCAATTGGTATGTAATATTAATTTATGATAATAATAATAAATTTCCTAAATAAAAACATTATTATAATGTCATATTTCATAAAATAAGAACGTTATTTTTTTTCTTATAAATAAAATAAGAACTTTTATTTATTGTAATTTCTAGCTGAAATTTTCCAACTAGTTTTTTTCTCATTGTTCAAAGCACACTCAAATTTATTTTTCAATATTTGCTACTTCTCCAATGAATTTAGATAAAATTTGATAATTTTTAACATCTATTTCTTTTAATTTTTTTGGACATAATATTTCTTAAAAGGTTACATTAGTCTAACATAATAGTAATCAATAAAAACTATTTCAAATAATCCAAAAATAACAAATCAAAATTTAATAAAAACAAAAGGATAATTTATATAGTTCTCCCAAGTCTCAGGGCAGCCTTTGGGTAAGGCCACCCAAGCAAGTGTTTAGGCCTCAAATTTGAAAAGTCTCATATTTTTATAATCATAATTTAATTAAATATATAGAAATATATAAAATTTAATAAATCAATAAATTATTTATCTATTTTCTTATACTTAATAAATATTTATTTTCTCTCACTGTCACATTTATTTTATTAAACTAATTATCTCATTTATTATTACAAATATTTTAAAGTAAAAAATAATTAATAAAATGATATATTCTCTCAATTCTTTAATTATGTGTCTAATAAATTTTAATTTTTTATCACTTCTCAATTATTTTTTGTTCAATCTATAATATCCACTCTTTAATTTTTCTTCCATCATTGTTCTATTTTATTTTAACTTCATATTTCTTCTAAAAAATGCGCAAGAAATCTATATATTTATTATCTTTGTACAGTTGTGAGTCTTATTTACGATTTACAATAAATATTCAACAATTAGTAACTATTGTTTTAACTTTTACAAATTTTGTTTACTTTAATTTAGAGTTTATATTATATTATTATATTATCTTTATTTTATATAATAATTAATATATTTGAATTAAAAATTTTGATTATTGATTTTATATTAATTATTTAAAAAACTATAAAATAATTATAATAGTTAGACTTTTTATAGTTCATAATAAATATTTAAATATGTCAAATCAAAAATATAAATTTATTTATTCAAAGCTATTGATTTTTTTTAATTTCAATAAAATTACCTCATTTAAATATATTGCTTTACACCTTTAAAATTATTGAACCGTTCCTGCCAAATATACAATAGGAGAAATATATATTTTTAATCAATAAGAGAAAGATTTGAATTTAACTTTTTAAGTGGAAAGAAACATTCACTTATCATTAAATTGAATGTAAAATTTTATTTAATATGCAATTTGCATATGTGAATTATATTAATTTGATCTTTATTCTTATTTTAATGTAAGTAATACAGAAGGTATAAGTAAGAGTTATGGAGTCATGGCAAACTTGGCAAAGGACAAAACTCATGAACACCTCTTCACATGCTTTCTATTCAATTCCTTGCGAAAGAGAAAGCAAAATTCAAGTGTTTAATTGCGGTAGACTTTTTTCCTTTTTTTAAAAAAAAATTGGATGGTAAAAGTTTCAAGTCAAGCATTCAACGTCAACTTCTTACTTCATTTTTATATTTTTAGACAGGATGGAGCACTTGGCCACGGTGTCATAGACAAGTAAGAGTCTTTAAGAAAATTTCATATTTCCTTCGCGCAGCAGTGGCCAAAGAGATGTAAAATTCAAGCCTCTAAGCTCTACCCTTTTTTATTAAGTTAATTAAATATTTATATTTATTTTAAATTAAATAAATTATTATAATTAATTAAATAAAAATATTATTTATTATTTTATATTTATATAAAATTAAAAATTAATTTTTTATATAATTATATTATGTTATTATCTATTATAATATGTGACCATATTATCTCAATAATATCGGATATAAAATGATCACTATCAAATTGATTATTTGATTACAGATAAAAAATATAAAATTTAAATTTAATCTAATAAAAAATAACTTATTTTAATTTATAATTAACATTTTTTTAAATATTTGTTTTTTTATTTTAAAGTTTTTGAAAGGAATGATTTTCAACTTTCAAAGATTAACAGCTACGGTAGGAAACAGAGGAAAAAGCTTAGCATCGTCAACGTGCGCTGTTCCTCACCATAAAGATCAATAAGGAAAGCCGATATTTTTGTCCTCCATAAAGAACCCAATCTCCATAAAGGCCAACGGCAACTGTTGATTTGACACCTCATTGAAAGTTCAAAACCTTCCACATATTCGGCTACAATCGCATGCGACTTCGGGCCACACAAACTCCCTGGACAACCCATCCAACATGCCATGTGGTCCCCAGATCTTACGGCAATGTTATCTGAAGGTAACAAGCAAGTGGGTTGATGCTATTAATGGAACAAACATGCACCGCAGCGGATGAATTATTGACCCATTAACAAATGTGTGATTCGGGAATAGTATGTTACCACTTTCCTCTTGCGAAACTTCCAAAACGTTTCGCCCCCAAACAAAAGAAAAGGAAAAAGAAAATTCCTATAGACTCCCTTGTCAAATCTGGACCCACATTCCATGGATCGAAGACAAAACCAACCTAATCTCCCACGTGGCAGAACCGTATTGGGGAGTTCAAGCTAAAATCGCTAGATCGGAGTACAGAATCGCTTAATCCCCGGAATTCCGGAGGCATCAGCTCTGAACTGGCCAGAGCCGTTCTACAAAGCGGGCACGCAGCCCTAGGGTCTTTCTCATTGCGCCCATTCTCCACACGCCTTTCTGTTTGTCTTCTGTGATAAATAAATATATATTAAAAAAAAGAGAGTCTGGAAACGGGCATGAATTCCTATTAGGTTCCCTTCATCGATTTCCTTTGCCCTTATCTTCTGCGTAGTGCCATTTTTATGTGAATGCGTGTTCGTCAAATCGAGTGATCTTGATCGTCCTACGTCATGTATATAACGGCCTCATCCTCAGCTTCTTCTTCTCTCTTAAGAGCAGCTTCCTCTTATTCACGGACTCGCCTTTTCCCTTCTTCATTTCGGAATCTCACTTCGACCAATCCCGCCTCTCCTTCTCTCGTCAACCACCACCGATCTCTCACCTCCGCCGCCGTTCGTTCGTTCCACGGCTCCGTTCCGCGATGGAGCCACCGTCTCGATTGGAGATCTCCTCTTAGCCTCCGTGCTCAGATCAGAGCTGTTACTCCAGTCATCGAACGGTTGGAGAGGAAGTTTGCTACTATGGGTACTGCTCTCCAATACTTTCGGAGCTTGTCTTTTGCTTCATTTTGAATCTGATTTTAGCTTAAATTAGACATTTTATTGCTGATTTTAGTTTGCTTGATTAGTTTTAACCTCTCAGTCGAAGTCTTAGGCTGCTTGATCGGATTCAATTAATAAGAAGCCTCAGATTTTCAAAACTTTTATTAGTTTTTTTTTCCGAATAATAATTAACTTATCATTTTTAATTACAGGATCAAAGGGATTATTTGTTTTCTGAAATCAGCAAAAGATTGTTTAAAGAATATACTATATACTATGTAGCACATATCCCCCCACAAAAAAAAAATAAAAATCATTCAAAGTATTTTTAAATTTGATCCTCTACCTTGCCGGACTCTAGTGACTGTTCAATCTTAATTTTAAAATTGAATTGAAAATTTATCAGCTGAGTGTTTTTATTTATTTAACCTTTTCTTTTATGATTTTCAGCTTCTGAACATCCTTTCAAGGCAGTGTTGACAAGTCTTCCCAAGCCAGGTGGTGGCGAGTTTGGAAAGTTCTATAGCTTGCCTGCCCTGAATGACCCAAGGATTGGTAAATTTTCTCGTATAAGTATATATATGTACATTTACTTGATGACTTTGATATACTATTTCATCCCTTTGTCCAATTTAGTTGTTTCTCCTAGTTGTCTGACTGATAATACCTGTTCCTTATTTCTGCTGTATATGTAACAGATAAACTGCCATACTCTATCAGAATCCTGCTTGAATCTGCCATTCGTAATTGTGACAACTTCCAAGTGAAGAAGGAAGATGTTGAGAAAATTATTGATTGGGAAAATTCATCACCAAAGCAAGTCGAAGTCCCCTTCAAGCCTGCTCGTGTTCTTTTGCAGGTGTTTCATAAACCTGGTTTACACAGACACAAACATAAGCATATGTTATCATAAAAAGGGCTTCAAGCTGCCTAAGTTTTTGGTTCTTTTGTACTAAAAGAAACAAATGATGGTTTTGTTTTATCTTTAATCCATTTGTTTTGTTCTCAGGATTTTACAGGAGTGCCAGCTGTAGTCGACCTTGCTTGTATGCGTGATGCTATGAGCAAGCTTGGCAGTGATACAAGCAAGATTAATCCTTTGGTGCGTTATGTTCAAGTCATTTGCATGAGCATTTGCTGTAACAGAGTGCTGAAATATTGTCAACCAA